TGGTACATATATAGCCATAGAGTGTGTTCTCTTGGCACAACAGAAGAATAAAGGTGACTTAACTTTAATAAAATGCCATTACCAGTTTAAATTTTAAGGCAATTATTATACAAAAACTAAGACACTATAACTGCGGTGGAAATGCAATGGTACATTCAGTGTGGAATTGAAGCACATTATAACTGGGCGTATTTTATCATTAAATCATGTAATACTCTGTACTATATATAGTCAAGGTTGCATTGCTGACATTCGCTTTGAGACAGCCATGTTGAGTTGGCTTCAATCCATCGGCGATCTTTGATGACACAGCTGCCATCATGTTACAGTCTCCAGAAAGATCCCTTCACTCAAAATAGCAGGATGCAAACCCTAGAGCTCAGAAGTGACAACTATTTATATTTCTGCTCATTGATTTTGTCATGACTGTTTGTTCCCCACAACAAAAACAAATGCTTTTTTAAGTCTCCCTTCCATTGGCAAAGAGCAAAATGGTGACTGTATGAACTTTGAGTGAACAGACGTTGATTTAGCCTGGCATCAGAATTAAGCTTTTATTTTGCATCTAAGGCCGAATGCCAAGCCATATACTTTAACAAAGTGTCCAAATTTAGCTTCCAATAACTCCAAGCTGTTTCTTTTATACATAGTGTTCATTAAGGAAGAGATTTGTTTATGTTCACTTTCTGGCGCTGCCCTAAAGGTAACATTTGTTTAAGTCTGACATTTGTCGTCCTTAATGCAAGCACTGGAGACTTCAGATATCCCACGGCACAGCCTGGAGCATACGATTTAGAGTGAGCAAGTTTCCTGAAGGTGAACAAAAAAGAGTTGGTGGTTTTCCATCTGGGCACCTTCATATCAAGGCCCTCTCGGGACGCGCGGCATGTTTATTCATAAGAGGTGGGTAGGAACGGGAGTGGGAGAAAAAAAAGTTTTGTAAGAGACCCAGCTGGTAGCCTAAAACTTCTCTTTGGTGACCTCAATTTCTCCTGCTACCCGATGAGTCCCGTCTGTCCGTGTGGGACTAAGCATACACTGCAGTAAGTGTCACTGTGAGTCAAGTTAAGCAAGGTTGAAGACACAGAAAAACTGTAAAGACGGTGAGATGTCATCTTTAACATGAAAGCCTACAAAGACAACAAATTCAAGACTAATGTTTTCTTTGAGAGATAATCAATATTTCTACTGCCTCAGGCCAGGAGGCTGAAGACTGCAGTGTTGCATTAAGAGGAGGATTGTTAGCATTCGGGTCACACAGTCCTACACATCAGATAGGGCCTTTAAAAAAAGAATTTAGAACACAGAGGTGCCATGTTGACTATTCATTGACAAGGGCTCGGTAAAAAGACATCAGTCAGATAAGAAAAGTGGATGTATGCAGTTCACAAGGCTAAGTCGGTGTCGTACCGTCAGCATTGATGCAAAGGCCAGAGAAAGGGGTTTCAAAGAATGAGTGCAGGACGGCCCTCAGAGAGAGTTTTCCCCCACCCTGCCTTTGGCTTCCTTTCCTTTATGCCTCTAGGGATCATGAATATGGTATTCAAATCCATGGTAAGTCTTCATTAGATTTGGGATAGCTTAATATTGCTACAACATTAATGCAGAATACACCAAAAACTGAAAAACAAACATCGTCCTAATTTTACGGCATTTTTTACTTGAGGAAAGTGGAAAACTGTACAATAAATTATCTCTTACCAAATCACACATATTAGCTACTCTACATGATCTCATTTTGATAACACATGTAATAACTAATGTCTTATTCTTTCAGATTCCATTTAATGAGCCTGAAACTAATTTGAGACCCTTTAGGGAGGAACCGCCTCTCTCTGCTGTAGATAAATCCGTGATAATAAATACATAAATATTTAAATAAAAGACTGATCGTGAGATAGCTATCGGAAGTGAACACAAAAGCAGATGTTGCTCGAGATATAGCAGATATAAAGAGTGATACAAATCCAAAATGTGTGAACAGCATTTAATGAGCCAATATTATCGTTTTTGGCAGAGGAAGAAGATATGTGGTTTGTTCTATCATTTAGACCTTACAATTAAAAAATGTGTGTGTGTCGTGAGCAATTAATTAAATGTATTGCAACTTTACGATTATAGGCTTTTGGAAGGTTGGGTGCATCTACACTACTAAAAAAAGGACATTATTTACTTAATTTAATTTGTTCAAATTAGAATTAATTTACATTAATGTCAACACCTGCCCAATTTAGTCAAATGAATGGTGGTTATTCGTGGTAAATACTGCAGTTAGTGTAGAGTCTTCCTTACTGTCAAAGAAAGTATGAGAATATGCACCACATCTCCTGTTTGGTAGGCTTGGCCTTTAAAATATCTTAACCCTAACGCTTTCAACAAAAGATACTGTATACGATGCAAAGTGCTAAAGTATACAGCTGAGTGCATTTGTGCCTCTGGATTTAAAGGGAATTCAAGTGTGGCTATTTTCTATTTAGCTGGACATTAGAGGGCTTGAAAAACATGGATTATAAAAACAATTGAAGCTTCAGGTTGACTTGTGAAAAGACCAGAGTATTTTACCCAAGATCGTAGAATACACTGCTGGGTCTTTGAGGCATTAAAACAGAAAAGAAGGTAAGGTTTTTGCAATGAAATACTTGTTGTTCCTCAGCACTTTGGTCTCTATTTCTTTAACCTCCAATTGCAAGTTGCACAGATTTACTTTTAGAGGAAGTTCAAGGAAGTCCTTGTGCTGTTGTTTTGTACCAAACACACAAACAAACCTTCAAAAGAACAGAATTCAAACATATATATTTACCTGACCCTCTCTTTTAGTACATTTATTTTACTCTACGAATTCCCCTTTTCTTTACTCTTGGAGACTGTGGCCAATGAATAAAATCCATAGCTCTCACAAGATACAACAATTTGAAACTCACTGCTATCATACTTTACTTGTTTGCAAGAACTTTATGAGAGTGTTTTCAAATTGGTTTCCTTTTAAGGTATCTATAAAGCCTCCCACTATAACAAAAAAACAACTATGACCCAATAACAATGGCTTGCCTTAATGTTAAAGATTGCAAGTGGAATAAATTCCCAGGGTGGATGACTCTGCAATAGTCAGTGGTATCTATAAATATTAGAGTTGAATAAAGTACAAAACATACTGATTTTATACTTTTCACAAAGCCATCAAACATGATGCATCATTTAAAACATTTCAAAAAAAAAATAAAAGTAAGGTATTCTGGTCTATTGTCAATGGGAAGAGGAGTCTTTAAAAAACCTACATATTTGCTAATTTCAGTAAAAGAGGGTATAATAGAGAGAGGAATGCAAAAATGATAAGCAGTCAGAATGTTTACCAATACTTCGGTACGTGTGAAGGATTTATTCTCATGAACATATATATTGTTAACAATGTGGCTGATAATTTACATGTTGACCACATTTCCCTTAGAGCATCAGTAGATGAAATGAAATGTTTCCGTCTTTGTTGACACACATTTGCAGTATAGCGAATGGAACGGGAGATATCTGAGAGAACTGCCGGAGTGTTCTACCTTGGCTGACTTGAGCGTTTCTTCCAGATGGGGTTTTGCATTTTAATTTAACCTGACATGACATGAACACAGTATTTAGACCAGGTTTGCAGACCTCCTATCCTGCTTCGCCGTTTAGTTGGATGAGCAGACCCTTTGGTATTAACCCTGAAGATCAGTGTGTAGCTTAGGGACAATTTGGGCAGATCTGGAAAGTAGCCAGTTCAGGGTATCAAATGTATTCTACTGCAGTTACATTGCAGGTTTTAAAACCACAGGCCTCCATGCAGCACTAAGGAAGGCTGTATAAACCTTTAATATATCCAATTTGTATCCAGTTGTAAGGGATGTGTATGTCAATGGCATTTTTTTTTAAACCAAAACAGACATATTGCATACTGTTACAATGTCTCTACACTTCAATCAATCTTTGTTAATTATATTCTCTGGTCCAAGGCATGCTACCAAGTAAATAAATCAATGCAAGCAATAATTCAGGGAGTGAGACATTTCTGCTCCGTGCCAACAAACAAGCTCTTGGACTCTTCACAGCTCTGAATCAGAGGCTAGCATATCCTTACACCTACAGTAGCACTCACATATAGACAAAGCACAGCATGCCTTTAGCTGTCTTACAGGTCAACAAAGGTCGTGGTCTCTGCCAGACAGACGCCACCGTTGTGCCAAGACTGCAGCAATCACATAGCAGACGCTGTCTTCACAGAAGCCAGGTGCCGATAGCAGCTTGGTATAGCTGCTAAAGAATGCGAGCAACAGCACAAACTTGTGTACAACACCACACCTGGTGCTACTGCCCTGCTGCCTGTTCTGACAGGAAGGATGATGAGAAGTCACCTTGGCAACCACTCCAACTGCACAACTTGGGAAGAGGCAGCTCATGCAGCAATGGATAAGGGGGTAAATGGTTTCTACCAATAGGAGGGTTAGAGGATGGATTCCGAGGTCTGCAGTCAACATTTCAAAGGATCCTTCGGCAATATACTGAACCCCAAATTGCTCCCCTAGGCATTGCCAACAATGAAGATGGGCATTGTGAGTTGCTTTGAATAAAAGCGTCAGCTAAATGGTGTGTAATTAGCATTTATATCACCAACCATCAGGCATTGAGAGTTGAATCTAAGCGTTACAGACGATAGATGGATTAGGCAGGGCGTATCTAAGTGAACGTGAAAACGATCCCTGATCTCCCATAATCAACAAAGCACACTTTAGCTTAATTTACTCGATTAAAGTTAGGAATCTCCATTACGAGGAGGTAAAAATAAAGCCTTTTCTACAGCAATTTATTTTACAAATGGAATGTGGATTCAACGTGTGAAATACATTCCACCATCTTAATAAACCAAATACGATGAACACAATCTGATGAATTTCCATAATTACGAGAATGCTTATTAATTTATGTATTCTAAACCCAAGGCGATAAAAACGATCGGCTTAAATAACTCTTACCTCGACAGTGAACTCCTTCGTCATAGCCATCTTCACAGTCTCTGGCCCCATTGCAGAGTTTATTTAAATGAATACACTTTTTTGACCCGATGCACTGTATGTGATTGAGTGGACATCTGATCACCACCTCCTGTGCACCTAAAAGAAAGAAGGGACAGTGTAAACATAAAAATACTGATATTCCATTTATTCCAACATTAATAATTGGTGTACTGTTTCTGCAAAACCGAACAAGCTTTAACAATGTTCCTATCAGCATATGGAGTACAGTGGGAGACCATATGGAACATACATTTGCATGCTTCATTGTCATTATCATTCGTGTTTTTGCAGGCAATACACATTTCTCCCAGTGTTTTTTTAACTGCCTTCTCAAAGTGCTGATACTTCAAGACCCTGTTTTTAAAGGAGGCGGAAGAACCTGTGCATATGCAAATGTATTTATACTTCACACAGCATTGTTCTTTAAACACAACAGATGTTCGCCACACTGCTCTGCGGACGCACCGCTGAAGTCCGGTAACAAACTGCCCGACCATCGCTGCCAGCCAGGCGAACGGCAGAGAGCAGCTGCTTAAGGATTCATGAGGCACATAGGTGACCCTCACTCATGTGGCAGCCACGGCAGCACATAAAACACAGCGCACCACCACTGTAAATGTGTCACATCTCCACCCTAACTACATTGGTATCAATTACCCATGTGCCGCTGCAGCCACTTAACGGAAAGATTTATGGGCTCTGCAACAATCCCCAGAGTTTTCTCGTTCAGAAGGACTCAAACCCAAGCACACTTGGACCTTCTTGACCGGGCAGTTACTTATTCACAACATGCTTTTCTACTTTGTAAGGTAAGAGATGCAGCAATTAACGTGGCTATTACAAAGACAGCCTTCATCCAGAGCTGATTTACAGTACAGAACGGATCTGTATTGACACAATAATGACTCACACTAGTTCCTCCTCTGGAGTATTTTTATTGCTTTAAAAGTGAAGCAAAGGGAGGCCTTCTTTTTTAATGAATATTGTTTGGCTTTCTGCTCAAGCCCCAGTGATTCACACTATTTCATTGCGATATTTAGGTAAGTCAAATATAAGTGACCTTGTCTCTGAGTTCATATTTCACACATGAGCAAACTGGCAGCCTCCTCTGCGGAGCTGCAAAATGTCTTTAAATCATCAATCCCTCCCCTTGCTCCTTTCGGGGGGGATGTAGTTTGATATTTGTGCTACTTTTCAGACTTCATGTACAAAGGAATGTTTGTAAAATCATTACACATTAAAAGTATATTAAAAATACATTCTTTCTACAAAATATCAGACATTTTATGCATTTAAAAAGGGAAAAAAACACTTTTTGAAAATGTTTGGAATCAAACTCAAATACCCTGTAGCTTCTTTTGTCGTACATTTCAAAACACATATTTTGTTGTACTCACTACAGAGAACAAACTGTCACGGGATGTTTCACCCAGTGCCACACTTTAGGAAATGTCCATTTGGCAAATGTGCTATTTAACACCGAGCTGCAAGGGTCTCTGACAACGTAACAGCGCTGTCAGCCTCTCTCCTTGCTATCTCGCCACATGGGTTCTAATCTAATGTGATAAGGGGAGGGATGGCGCATGAATATTCAGTGGCTGTGATCTGTCATGCAGGGGTACACAGATGGTCTCTCAACGGCTGAGGTATTCAGAATTCCAACGTCAATTCCCAAACTACTGTACTATGTTGGATGATCGCTCAAAGTCGTGCAAAACAGGATAACACACCACGCCGTGTATCGCATCCTTTGACAGGCTTCTCTCACCTAAGATTCCCACTGCGTAGCACTGGAGGATGCTTAATGTAAACATCCTTCAGATCAGTTCAGGCAAGAGATTACCTCAGGCAATCTACAGTGCAGTGACTATGAACAAAGCTGGAATCTTGTACGAGGAAAATAAATGTGTAAGGATTAGGAAAATGCACTCATAATTACAACTCTCTGCAGGCCTGCAGTGATAATGAGCTGTGAGATAAACATCTTGGGGATCAAATACTTTTAAAATATCATTTGATATACTGAATTTGTAATTTTTGTGTTTTATTCAGGTTGATTTGATTGGCAACTCGGATTGCAACAACACACATTCTAGAAATCACAGAAGGCCAGCAAATATCATTAAATGAAACAGAATAACGGATGTTAATGAAGCATGGTTTAATAGCACATCTAATCTGCCAGAATACCATATTGTAAGCACTTTAGCCTAGATGTGCAATGTGACGTTTTTTAAGGAAATTAAACTGTAACACTATATAGTAGCTGTCATAGTTGGAGTTTAGAGGAAGTAAAGATGCGAGCCAGAGTTAATGGAAACAAATCAGAGGCAAACAAATTATGGTTTGTTTCTCAAGGCTTTAACTCAGTTGAGGACACATCCATTTAATTGAAAATGTTTCTTGTTCCCCTGACTTTGTGATATTGCTTGAAATGAGGACATGTTTTTTATGTTTTTAAATCAGCAAAATCACTTTGCTCCGCACACTGGTCCACTTCCACTCTCACAGGCGGGTAGCAAGCTAGAACTGTGTTTGTGATTACTAGATAGATAGAAAACATGTTGAAAACAGATAAACTGAATTAGATCCCTGTTGTGTTAGGCAATCGCTGATGTAGAAATCTTCAGTCATTTTAGATTAAAACGGCAAGGACCCAGTAATGGCTCGATAAATGAATAATGTCCAGAGATGAAATAAATGCAGGCATACTTAAACACCAGTTTAATCATAACACCTTGAGTGTAAGGAAGATGTTCCCCTGGTAAGTAAAATACAATTAAAGTGTGATTTGTTTATTCAGGTAAAGCGGGACGCATTTAACTTCATCATCAATATTTATGACTGTGAATTAAACCATCCCATCTAGTGTAAATACTGCTCATATATTATTAAAAACCTATATTTGTGTTGTACTGAACACGATTGCACGCCTTTACATGGCTCTAATACCTTTGTAAAGTTTGCCGGTGACACAACGGTGACACAACTCATCAGCAACAATGATGAAGCAAATCAACAGAGAAGAGGTCGACAGCAAGACCAAGGAACTGATTGTGGACTTCAGAAGGTCAAAGGGCAGCACACACACCCATCAACGTCACAGAGTTTGAATGTCTCACCAGTTTCAAAGTTATTGGTGACATCACTTAGGACCTCTTCTGGGCTCCCCAGTGTCTCTTCTTCCCGAGGAGAACGAGGTAAGCTGTCTCCTAACATTCTGGTGAACTTCTACCACTGCACGATTAAGAGCATCCTCACTATTCGCATCACGGTCTGGTACAGGCAACAGCACTACCGCAGACCGGAAACAACTGCAGAGGGTGGTGAAAACGGTAAAGCGCATCACCGCTACTCCACTCCCTGCCGTTGATACAACACATCACACATTTTCCCCTTCCCTCTGGGAGGCGCTACAGGAACCTCCACACCAGGACCAGCAGCTTCAGGAAGAGCTTCTTCCCCTCTAATACCATCTAGCTGAACAATGACAGCCGCCCCTCCCCCTACCCTGGATAACCAGGGACTGACTGTCAAGTACCGACTTGTTTGTATTTATAAAAGTGTCTAAATGGCCATTTTTTCTATCGAATACTCACATTTTTTCATATTATTAAAAACAATAACTGTCTATAGTATATTCATATTTATTACGTGTATAGTATCTGTATTATACTGTATATGTGTATCCCTGATCTATAGTGTATTCCATACACATCTATTTATAATGTGTATACCTCTTTAAACTGTTTTAAGTATAAATACTTCAGTTTTTTTTATATCTGTCATATGTATATATTTATATTAGACTGTACTGCTACTTTTCCAGTTCTGGTTAGATGCTTACTGCATTTCATTGTTTTACTACTTGTAATCTGTGCAATGACAATAACGTTTAATCTAATCTAATCTAATCATACCTAAAACATAATTTGCACCAAAGGTCATTAAGAAGTGATTTGTGTGGCTGCACGATCTTAGATTTTAGGACATGTTAATTAAAAATCATGCTGCTCTTCACCGACATTAAAAGGTGTGAATGAGGATGAATCCGTTGGGACAAACTAATATCTCTTCTTAATGTAAAATGAGAGGTTTCTAGGGGGGATATTCCAGCAGCTATGTTCATTATGATAATCACTGTAATCTGAGCGGGTGCAAGTTTGTGCGGAATAATGAATTTCTGAGAGAAAAAAACCTATTAGCGGGGGAAGCTCCTTGAACTTCTGCGTAAGGAGATTTATCCTATCCACATTTAATTTTCTTAATATATGTTTGTGAATTGATGATCAAAGTAGCATCCCGATGCCTGACCTATGAAGAATATCCATAATGGTTTCATAACAGTAACAGGTTCCTCTGTGGTAGATCCCACAATGACGATGACATTAGTTGACTGTATGCACTCCCATTATTGTTACAAATCACTAATCTAATCATAGGCATAAGTACAATTTTTTTGAATTGAAGAAAAAATATCAGAAACAGCCTAGACAGCATTAGCTATGACTCACTGCATTGTGGGTACAGCTATTTACCGTGAAGGCCAGTAGCAAACAAACTTTTGGTGCACCATCCGTTCAAAATGATTGACCTCCAGTATTGCTTTTTTCACCTTTGTCGAGAAACACTTCACCCTGTACCCAGCATGCCATTCAGCGGTGTAATTATTAATAGGGGTCTTTTGTCAATACACAACACAGTTTCTACAAATCCACTGCTAATAAATATGACTTGTGACTCTCAAGCTTCACTCCACACCGCACTTCCTTTCTCAGCAATGCACAATATGCAATATTTCGTCAAGTGTGAAGTCAATTGGATGAACCTTTGTCGAGAAAATCAAGGACAGATAAACGGATAAGGACTCCTTTTATTTAGTTAGATATTGCATATTGTGCACGTACAAAGTGTTACTGACTGTGCAGACAGTTCTCAGGTCTATATGTACTGGTATAAGTAACTTGGTACAGGTATGTTTTGCAAGGTCACCAACTAAAATTGACAGTGAGAGTTTTCACATTATCTCACACTTCATGTCTATTTTCTCAAGCAACAAAAAGCCAATTTATACCTTATAATGTTGTTGAGCAAAA